CATCCACCAACGTGGCTTTTTACCTAATCGTAGTACAGTAACTAACCTATTTGAGTATACTAATTATATCAACAACTCAATGGAACAAGGATATCAAGTCGATGCCATTTATTCTGACTTCTCCAAGGCTTTTGACCGTGTTGATTTACAACTTCTTTTCAATAAATTAAAATACTATGGCGTGATTGGAAGTATTTTAGCTTGGATCAGATCTTATTTAACGCACAGAACGCAGGTAGTCAGTATAAATGGCCATCAATCAAAAGTTATTAATGTAACCTCAGGAGTACCGCAAGGCAGTCATCTCGGTCCAGTGCTTTTTCTTTTGTTTGTTAACGATATCACAAAGTGCTTTTCTCACTGCAACTATCTTCTTTTCGCTGATGATTTAAAATTATATATGAAAGTTACTGATGTTAACGATACTCTAAAAATTCAGCACGATATAGATTCTTTTTGGGAATGGTGTTGTAAAAATTCCATGAGCCCTAATATAGATAAGTGTAAAACCATTTCATTTACAAAAAAAGCAGTGTACCAATTGATACTTCATATCATATCAATAATAACGTATTGTCAAAAACCGACAGTTTTAGAGCTTGGTGTTACACTAGATTCTAAATTAAATTTCAGCGTTCACATTGACAATATTTTAAGTAAGAGTTTTCGCTTATGTGGTTTTGTTAAGAGGCACTGCAAAAATTTTAACAATATAATAGTAATTATTAAATTATTTGCTACGTTGGTGAGGCCAGTTCTTGAGTATTGTAGCATAATTTGGAATCCCTTCTATAAAATACATATTGACAGGATCGAAAAAGTTCAGAAGAAAATAGTAACTTTATTTTATTTAAATTGAAGATTAACAAAAATAATTATACGTACTGCGAGAGACTGAATTTAATTGGTCTTCAATCACTCGAAACACGTCGTCAGTATCAAGCTATAACTTTTGGACACAAAGCTTTACATAGCAAAATTGACTGCCCCAAAATTGTAAATATGTTTACCTTGATAATTCCTTCCTACAATACTCGAATACATGAAACTGTAGCCATCGATGTTCATCGTACACACTACGGTTATAATTCTCCATTTGTCCGTATTGCTAGGTATATCAACGCTATATCCGAAGACTTAGACCTGTTTCACTGTAGTTCCAAAACCCTTAGACGGTATTTGCTTTCACTGTAGAATGATGTATCCTAATTTATTTTTGCGAAATTTTGTTACGGTATTTTTTTCCCCTTATAGTATGTAGGTATATATGTAATTATTTTTATAGATGAATATTTTTTTTCTTTTTGTTATATCTGAGTTCTGTCTTTTCTAAATTAATTTTTATTTTTGTTCGCATGTATAATATTAGAAATTGCCTGTTACATACTATGTATTTTGGTAATAACGGTTATATTATTATATCTTTAATTCGACGTACGGAGGCATGTGTAATAAGAAACAGTGGCCGTCAAATTGAAAACTTGTTTTGGCTTCCTTGTATAGCGTAGTGTTTATTATTTCTTCTTCATTTAAAACTTCATTTGAGAAAATTCACAGATACATTAAAATACCCATTATTATTAATTGAATTTTTCTTTAGTAAAATATATCGGAAATTCTGAAGGAAATTGGCGATTAGTATGTGTCACGAAGGTTTTGGGACAAATTTCAAAACAAAATATGGTATCAAGTATAGAATAGATTCTTGGAGTGAAGACGCCAAGTCCATTTATGAAGATATTGCGTGTCTATTAATTGGCAAGTCGGGTTTACTACTAGCAAAATAATTCTAAACCAACATATCAGCGTTGTTACATTTGACTGGAGAATAATTAATCGGGCGTAGGTAAAACTCAAAGATTTATTTCTTTAGCTCGAATTACTAACTATTGCAACGAATATGTACAGAAATTATTCCGGCGAATTTCACTGGACGCTCTTGACTGTCTCCACTGGCTGAATAATCAATCCATTCCCGACGGTCGCCTCTATTTAAACCCATACTTCTCCGATCGAGATCTTTCACGAACATCCATCGCGACTCCGCTTCGAGACTTCCCTGGACGCCGCTTCGAGACTTCCGGTAACCGGCTCCAGATCTGTCTTTATGCGCCCGCCGCTCGGCCGTCGACACCGTCAGCAGTGATGATTCACCCATCAGCGCGTACGTCCTGAAAGCTCTCGACGGCCATAGGCGTCGTACTGGGGCGGCGTAAGGGTGTATTTCGTAACAGTATTGCCAGCCTAATGCAGCCAGCATTTTGGGGACGATGCCAAAGTCTTCCAAGTTGGTAAATTAGCTACTTAACTTTCGAAACATGTAAAATAACCTTTACATAATTGACAACTATGTATCTTTAATCTTCAATGACACCCAATTTTGTCCTAATGTATCGCATTAGGTTTTGAATTGTGTTGAGATCAATCTTGTGGATCCTGGTAATTTATTCTTTGGAGATTTATTGTTTTTGGCTTCCGAACCTTTATCGAACACTTTTCTACTCAACCCCAAAAATTTTCAATTGGTCGCTATTGAGGTATATTTGAAAAATGGTCTTCTTTCAGCACAAATGGTATTTTTCACCTCCAATCGAGTCACCTCAGTTACGGCTGGTTCTTGCACAATGCAGGAGGACCTAATTTTTAATACCACATGAAACTAAAAAAACTTAAGTACGATATATTTGAAGTTTAACATGACGTGATCGCTTTGTGACGAACAGTAATAAACGAGATTTGATTGTTATACACACTTTCTCCAAGGTGATCAATACAGCATATACTTTTGGTCAAAAGTATGAAGCCATTGAAACGAGACCACGAATTTTTGTCAGTCGCAAATATTAAATATAGTCTTCAATAAAATGACGTCATTAATTTTGAATGTGGTTTTTTACATATACTACCTTTACTAACTATCCATCTTTCATTCAGAAAAGGTATAATTTTGTTTTTGTGGTGCTGTGGTGCTCTCCATTAGAAACAATCGATTATTATTTTTATAAAATTTAAAACCAACTTTTCTAGTCCATGTCTTTAGTGACCTGAGTCCAAATTTGAAGTCCGGTATCTCATCGATAACTTGAACCGACTTAATTACGTATTCGTTAGACGCAATCATTTTATACACAGTTACCCTAACTGATATTAAATCTGCAGGTTTTACTTGAGTTTTTATATTTCTAATAAGTAATTGTAACGAACATATCTTCTTTGTACTCCGTATCACTTGAATTATATTTTTCTGTAAATTATATAAAGATTTTTTTGAAATTTTTAACATTTCGGCCGCCAGTTCTATTTTTCTTTTTTCTTAAATTGTGCAACATCATGGTTTCTTTGTAGATAATCCAACACATTACAAGTAGTAAAACGTTATAAACCAAAGATTCTGTTTGTCAAATAGAAATTTGACATAAAACTTCTACGACATACTCAAAATTTGCTAATTTTTTATCTCACACAAAGTTCATAAGATAGAAAGAGAATAAATTTTTTCCGGGATATTTCCACCACTATATTTATTTTCGTTTGAATAAAATTAAAAATCTCTTAACTAGCTTCGATACCTAAAGTTGCAAACTAATTAGTTCAAAAGATTAACGGATATTAGACTGACGAAAACGTGAAACATATACACCCGTATTCTACGAATTGTGGAAAGCTAAAAGCTCAGTTTACAAAGACGCTGTCTGTATGACGACTACATTTTATCGTGAAACATACACTTCCGTATTCTAGGAACTGTCGAAAGCTAAAAGCTCAGTTTACAAAGACACTGTCTGTATGATGACTACATTTTATTATTATTTAAATATAAATACTTACTTACTAATTTTTAAAACCAAAAATGGAGCTTTGAAAAGTTTTTCAATTTTCATTACTACGTGTACTACTGCTCTTTAGATATCAGTCGGAAAATGAAAAACAATACGTAATCGTTTTTGATTATTAGAAATTTAACACGGACATTGTTTTCAGAATTGTTAAATAATTAATGTAAATGTTTGTGTTAACTGCTGTCGTGATAAATACAAATGAAAATGAGTTCTTCGTATTTTGTTTTTTATTACGAAAAAATAAAACTGACAACGTTTATAAATAGGTAGGTAATTATTTGACAGGTGCGTATTACTGCAGCGGCACTAGTTTCACATTAATATTAAATTAGTGTACCCACAAATGTCACAACATACACATTAAATAGTTAGTTCAAATTATCACTGATGTACTTTATGCTACAATCTGTCATGTGTGTATAAACGAACCTGAAATTTTTATGAATCGGTCCCTTTGTGTTTAGTTTCTTATACTTTTTCAGATTTCATAATTATTAAGAATATTGATTAAAAAGAGGTAGACTGATTACGATAAATGAGAACAAGAATTCGTTAATTTAGGACCTACATACCTAAAATATATTAAAATTATAGTTCTAAAATGTTGTGTAATATCATTATATTATAATAAATAAAATTGGTTCACAGTTATGCTATGCAAATTATTGAGAATATAATTAAGAGCCATTAATTTCGCAACATCAGAGTGATGTTAATATGAAATCAGTAAATTAATTTATACAGTATGCGGCACCCCACATATTTAGGATAAGCGACGCACTTTGTTTTAAATGAACACATTTATTTCATCATAATATCGACGTGTACGGCATAATTCAGTTTTTATGAAGCAAGGTATTCGAAGCATTCATGTTGAAAAACGTAATATATTTCAAATTTAATAAAATCTGCAAATAAACGCAATGCCCCTTTTTTAATTTCCGAATGGTTGAACACGACAAGAATTTTGTCCCGATTATTTAATTAAAATAAAAAAAGTAAATATCGTTTGTTGAAAAGTAGATTAAATTAATTCGAGAACGGATGAAAAAAGCGCCCGTACCGGCTACACCCCTGTGTTAATAATCTCAAAAAGGAAAGCTTCGCTCCACTTATTTAAGCATCCACCTTTGTGTCAAAAACAGCGCGCTTTCTACGTACTTTTTTCACGTGTTCGCTTCCTCCGACAGGTACCAGAACGATCGCAGTGGCCATGACCAATGTCAGAGTCCTCCAGAGAAACCCTTCCTCCATTACGCATCCTCATTGGTACTGAAACAATCAATTTCGTTATTGGTCCTTCGAGCCGGATTCGCGAGAAACAAACAAGAGCGGCCGTGACCCGCTGTGACATTTCCAGGATGTGCTGTGGAAGAAAAAGAGTTCCGAGTCCCGTGCGAAGGTCAATTCGCATATCAACCCTGAAATAGACGGGGAAAGGGGTGGGAGGCGCCTGGAGCTCGCTGTTGTACGGTCGGATGTCCTCTCCTCGCTTGCTTTCACACTCGGTTTATCTGAAACAGCGAATACGTGTGTGTGTAGGTAAGCCTGAAAAGCACACGCAGGAAAATTGCCCAAGAGATCACACGCTCCGGCAGGCAAAGCTGGAAGCTTCCTTTACAACGGTTGTTATGACAGATGTCAATCATTATGGCTTACTTATGAAGGCAGATGCCTTGCTGAGATGTTCCGGGTGTTGCAGGAGACACCATTAATGATTCTTTCAGATCTTATGGAAACGTGTCCGCTTGAGTTTCGCCATCCTGAAAAAAAATAAAGGGATCAATAGCTGAAATCGGGAGGTAAAATTGACGTTCTTTAATTTTTTGTATTTTTATAATTCGCAAGTATTTACAAACTGTAAACTGTTATACATTCAGATGAAAAGTACATAAATTCTTGAACACATCATAAAATGGCCAAAACATTTGCAATTTCCCCACAAAAATTCTAATACGGACGAAGAAATGTTATTCAAATATTCATAGAGGTAAGGTCCGTGTGAGCCGAGCTTAAAGCTAAAAACAATACAGGAAAAATGGAGTTTATATTACAGAAAGACAAAAATCGTTGTTTCACTTTAAATTTAAACGAATGATTTTTAAGACTTTTCTGTTTTCGGATTTTTGCGTTGTGTGTCAGACTAAAGTCGTTAAAATGTATTATATCTACCCACATAATAATAATAGTTGACTAAGAATAGTTCGTACAAATGTGGAACAAACGCTGTGTTGAGGGTTGTTATCGAGATTGTCCTCAAGTATAGATGTCCTTAAGGAACTTTTATTACAATGAATAAATATAACAATAACGCTGAAGATAGTCCGTTGCAGTTTAAGTTTACTAACTGTAGTTAAACTGGTCAATACAAAAACAGTTAATTTCAGGGACAACGTGATTAGTGATAAGTGATAAGCAAACAAATCGGTGTGATGAATGTGGTTCTATACACATTAAAAAAAAAAATTACTCGTCAGGTAAATCATTGTTTGAAAATGTGAAGACTACTCGGAAACTGACGTCAAAAGTGCCAGAAGGAATGATCTAATTTTCTTTAATTTGTGCAGAAAGTATAAAATGTTCTTGCTGTAACTGAGAAGAATTACCCTGTTCAAGTTAGAGTAAAACTAAAAGTATAGTCGTAAACATTCTGAATTTATATGTTAACGGATCTCCTAAATAATTAATTATACGAACATAGTTTTAAATTACGGCAACAAACATTCCAAATAAACAACTTTTGTTATTTTATCGTTAGATGTGAAGTTTCCTGAATGACAGGCTTAATTGAAATACGGTGCTAATTATCACCAGAGGTTACAAAATTTAAACACACCTGAGTCAAAGACAAGTGGAATTAGAGTATATATGAAAGTTATGTTGAATTTTCTTAGAACTACCACATTTTTCTGGAAAAATTATTAGTATCATTATTACAAGAATTAAACAGGTATTTCAACAGCTTGGTGGAGGAAGTTTACACTTTTCCAGAATTCAATGCAGTTTTTTGTGTTTGAAAGTTGGTTTAATCGGGATGGTTATTAGCCATATTTGGTGACAATTATTTTAGCCATTTTAAAATGATCGACACATCGACGGTCGCAACGAATCTTAACCAATTTTAGACTTTTTAAGGGTTCACTGTTTTTGTGTCGGGGTTTTTTGAGGTTTTTAACACTTCAAGGAATTTTTGTTAGGATAATCTCTAGCAAACTCAAGGAAAAGCATACTTATACACAAATTCGAAAATGTTATAAATAAGGCTCGAATTGTATGTATTCAAAATGTATTCCTTAAAACGTGGCATATTCAGAAAAAAAAACATGTTTTCTGGCCGCATAATTTCTTTTTTCAACAGCGCCCATTTCTTCTCATTTTAATCCCCACTTATTGCAATGTAATGACTGTTTTTAATCCCTAGGGTGTTAAAAAAATTGAACTCCCGCTTCATAAAAAGACAGGTAGCAATTTATAAACAACAGGTATTTAATTCCTTGGTACATTACATACTATTAATACTACATATTTTTGCTGCATAAGTAAATATTAACGTTACAGTTTTGGAAGCGACCCATACTGATACGATCGTTACACTCTAAATCATTCAATTTTGGAAGGTTAATGTTACTAGTAGATCTAGTGGCTTCGCTTGTAATGAGTATATTTTTTGAAGTATTTGCCTCCGTTATACATTTTCAAATACACAGCGGAGTAGGATCAAATCTAGGTCTATTACTTTTTATAATATTTTTTTTTGCCACAGTTGCTAATACAATTTTGAAACTTGAATACAACAATTTAGTGCTAGTAGATTATATTCAGCTAATTACTAAATGTTTTCAACAACTATTCAATGTTCAAGATAAAATAGGTAAACAGTTTTCAGAAATTTAAGTTTGTTTTTGAAAAAAAAAAGTAGGTTTTAATACCTTGTCGCTTGTGAGTAAAATTTTGGGAGGAGAATTTGTAAATATGGCGCAAATCACTTCCAATGGAAAATTTTGAAAAACATTTAATAAATCATTTGGTTTAATAAAAATTATAGCTAAAATACAAGTATTTGTTAACAGCATTTTCCTACATACTTAACTTTTCAGTTAAATTAATTTAAGTTCTTATATTGCAGATATATATATACGTACAAGACTTGTACTTTTACAATAAATACCCTAAAATCGCGCGTATAGTCCGCCCCCGCGCATAGTCCGCCCTCACGTATAGTCCACAGTTTTTAAATCTCCCTCCTAAAAATCAGATAGTCCGCAACCTCGCGTATAATCCGCGGACAATGTGCGTGTCTGTATGGTTCGATAAGGTTCGATATTTGCTATTTAGGTACCTAAATTTAAGTATCTAGGTACTTTTGAGAATCTTTTTATTTTTGTTAGATATTTTATTTTTCATTTATATTGAGAATGCCCAATAAATTTTTTTATTTTGCGTTTAAATTTTTTGTTGGTTTTCCTACAGCGTATAGTCCGCCCTCGCCTATAGTCCGCCCTCGCATATAGTCCGCACCCGGCGTCAGGGAAAACAACGTATAGTCCGCGGACTATACGCGCGATTTTAGGGTACTTAAAAATGTCATTTTATTTTATTAGATCTATTCAAATTAAGTATTCGCATATGTATGTTTGGCATGCTTCGTTGCATATTGTTAATATATAAATAAAAAAAATAAATAAATAAACCCATACGCCATCCCAGTACGACGCCTATGGGTTCTAGTATGTACGGCGATGATGGGTGACGAGCGGCGTTTGCTAAAGAAAAGCCTGGAAGTGGAAGTCGCGGTGGGTATTCCAGAAAGACCCTGAGTACGGAACCTCGAAAAGGGAAATATGGGTTTAAAAAGAGGCCACCTTCGGGAACGGGGGGATCCAGCCAAATCAGTCAAATTGCGTAAAAATGTGTGCATAATATGGTCACATTTCTTCGATATTTTGATGCATACAATCCGAAGCTTAGATTTATAAAATAGTGGATTTTCTATTTAAAAAATATGAGGAAACCTGCATTTTACAAATTTAAAACGTCTGAATAAGTAAATCTTAACCTTGCTTCAACTTTTATAACAAACTGATTAAACAATTTTTTGCAAAATTAGAGCATCCGTGTTTAAAGATGATGAAGCTATATATTTTTAAAAAACACCAAAAGAATATTTCTTTTCCTTAAAATAAAATTTTATACTCAGAACACTAAACATGTATTACAATAAAAAGAAAATGAAAATAAATCGCTAGGGACCATAAAATTAAATGAACACAAAGGTGGTATTAATATCTACCTATAACAACTGTTTTTGCAGTTAATACCATCGTAACTATTTAAACTCATATATCAACTTAAATTAGCAAGAGATCTATCCACATATTTTTAATTTAATGGTACATTGCAGTGTTATAAATTTAATAATGATACATCAATCAAAAATGGAAACACATTTTGCTAATCCAACGAAAACAAAATTTAGCACAATTCATTAGACATTTATGAACGACAGTAAAATAGGGGTGTTTTATGTTTGCTTTAATTTGTAACGTTTATGTGGTATATCAAATAGTTTTAACTACAATATGTGTCAAATTTATCATGATAAATTTTGTAAATGAGTTATAACTCAGTTGTAAGCGCGTTATTAAATACAAATCTACCGAATTTTTTCTAACAAATGTTTTATTTAAACTTTGCTGATTACCTGGAGACATCGACTTTTTAACAGCACGTTTTGCAGGTTGAAATTAGCATTACAAAATTAGCTTTTAAATGTTTAATTTTAATTTAAATATACAGATCCTGTTTTACATGTTACTTTTTACGTAGTCGTTGTTCGTCTGCAAAGTTTACAAGGCCAGTTATAGTTGTTAAAATTGTTCTTTTATTATAATATTTATTACACTATAGGCTATATAATAAATATATATCTAATAATAAAAATATGTGCGAACGTTTATTTAAAAATTGTCAGTTGTGACAGTGCCAACATATAAAAAAAATAAAGAAAAATGGACGCAAATCTGAAATTAACGAACGATGAAATCGGTTCCATGGCTTTTTTAATTTTCAGTTTGTTTTTTAAACAACACTAACCCATATTTGGAGAATACATCTTCTGGTGTGCACGACCACGTGGTTTATAAAGTTTTAAAGTTCAGAGTGAAGCAGAAAAATAAAGAAAATTAAACATAAAATTGATGAAACTTTGTACGTATAGTTTAAAAACTATATACCGGGTGAGTCCAATTTTCTTGAATTTTTTATTTCCCGATCGTAAGCTATTGTGTATGTTTAAAATTTTATAAAATAACATACTCCTACACGTGTAGTCTATGACTCCGTGTTCAGTTTGTTATTAGAGACATCCAGAAAACTTCCAAACACTTTTCCTTTATTATCGTTTGTAAACATTTTAGATCAGAGTAATTATCTGAAAGTTTACTAATCTGACAGTTCTCAGAATTGGTAAACTTTTATTTAAAAAAAGTAATCTAATATGTAACTCCCAAGGTATCCTGTGAGAATGTATTTTGAGTTGCATAAACAAGTTTTTTAAAACGGACTCTCACAAAATTCTATGAAATACGTTTTTAACCAAAATGGGAGACAAAGTTGTTAATTGTGTTTTGGAGTAGAAGCTTTCCAGAGTTTGTTGTGATATTTAGTCTCACAGATAATAACTTATACGTAAATTGTAATGAGCGCCTAAAGTATAGTAATTTTATTTGCTAAAAAATGCGCAACACCTATAGTTGTTACCAGA